GCGGCAACCTACGACTTGGTCACCGGTCGAAGCATGCCGTGCATTTTTCGGTTGCCAATCGTCAAGCTTCTTGGAAGTTCCTGCCCTGACGCCATTTCACAAGCGAAAGTCCATAAACAGTTATTACCTCATTAAAAAACACACACCAGAATGACCTTCCCTGTCCTGCATTTTGATCCTTTTTACATCTTTTTACTACAAACTCTCCAAAACGCTAGTGCTTGACCTCAAAAAACAGGTCTTCAGTCTTAAGGCCACCCACTTCGTAAAGGAATGGCAATGGAGATCTTCGGTCTACATTTCTATCATTTCTCTAGTCTTTACTTGTGGCGATTTTACTCTAGTATCATGGACCTACTTTTGGATCTTTTTGTAACTTTCCTCTGGTATTGTATTGTTTCTTGTCACCACACTTCTCTAGGAGTTGGTGTATACTTCTAAGACATCTCCGTGCTTTTGGGCGTTCTTCGTGTTTGCGCAGCCCTGATCTTCTGAATTCTCCGATCCACTCTCCAATGTCAGGGTGATGCACACCGCCTCCAAAGCCCTTCGCGCAGCCCTGACACGCGCGCAAACGTCGCTGGACCTGACTACCATTTTGCCCCCTGACCGCTCTTTACTTACACCCCCAACCAACCAACACACGCACACACACTGCACACACACACACAAACCAACGGCAACTTTGCGCAATTCCTTTGACTAAAGCAAGCTCGAAGCAGGTGCAATACAACTGCAAGAAACTTCAATAGAACGAAGGTGGAAAAGCAAGCTGGATGTGGCTCCAAGGCTTAACATGCTTAACAATTCGGCCGAGGAACGACTGACGGTATGCCTCCTGGGTGGAGATACAGTAGACTCCTCAGTGCAATTTATGACATGACCCGTCTAAGTCCATATGTGTCTAATCAATTGACGTTGGCTTGTGAGGCTCAACCTTTTCGCGCTTTCAGCTCCTCTTCAGCTTCTCTGCTTTGTGCTCCATCTAAGTTCGGTGCTTTCAGCTCCGCACAAGTCGGAAACGTCGTCTTTGATGGTCGTCATGGTGTCCATCAGAATCTCAGCCTTGATGCTGTCGTCTAAGCCATCCTTCACTCCTGAAAATCCGGAGACGTCTGATCTGGGATACTTTGTGTTTGCTGGTGGCACCTGAGGGGCCTTCAAACCAAAAGTGACCGTCATACATCTTCATACAAAAGTACACAAATTCAGAAGCAACATCAGGCCTCGGGCGTCCCATACAGACTGTTCATTCATGTATTCCCGCCTAGGAGCACAGTTCACAGCAGAATAGAGATCAAACATATCAAAAGAATCTACCTGCCGCCTGCTGCTATCTATATAGTCCCAACAATTTATGCCAAAGCCCAGTGCACCTGGCTGAGTTTTGGCCGCTATGTGCCAAGTGGCTCGATATCAACATCCATCTTGTTTCTCACAAGCACGTACGGCACCTGACAGAACAAACTTCTTCTCATAGCACGTCAGCACATACGCGTTGCCACAGAGTTTGGGCGGTCTCTCGGGCCTTCCAGTGCTTCAACTCATCAAGCAAAAGGAGCTCGGCTTCAGAGAAAGTGTTGTCCATCATCCTGGCACTTGAGCCATCCACTGGATGGACTGGAGATTCACAAACCAGCATGCGCGTTTCGCCGCCCGGGGTCACCCGACGGATCCGTGCAGCCCAAGAGGCACGACGACCAGGTCGAAGTGTCGAAGGCCCAGCAAAGCCATGTACTGATCGCCTGGGTAGCCTGCGGCACCCAAGGGTGGCAAGTCCTCAGTGATCCACATGATCCACCGAAGGGTAGCAGTGCCGAGAGCTTGCTCATGAGGTCAATACGGCTTCGATCCAAGTGGCCCAAAGCATACAAGGAATGTCTGACCTGAGAATTTCAAAACAAACTTCTCACCAGGTGACTTGTTTTACACTTGTGGGGTTGAGATGGGTTGAGCAGTTGACATGATTCAATGCATTCTTCCAAGTACAGCTACGGTATACTCAAGCCTGTCATATATGATCGAGCTTTCTGATACTCGTCTGCCCATTCAACTAAGTCAATGACATCACACATTACATCGGCAGGGTGCATGGTCTCACTGTCACCGTAATGAAATGCTTGATACATTGTCTAGTCTAGCACAACCAACTCATCAATTGCAGCCAGATCGACGGAGATGAGTAAAGGTATGCCACGGGTTCTCTCGTTGTGGTGGGCTTGGTCACTTGCTCATTGCCCATAAATACTCTCAAGAATGAAGACTTTCCGACACCTGGGTTGCTATGCATTGACACAAGAAGGATCAACATACAGTAAATCATAAATGCTAATCAATGCAAGCAGATGCAAGCATACATCTCATCTCAGATTATCTAATCAAACAAGGCGCAATCTAAGACTTTTCCCGCACTTGAGACAGTGGTTGTTGAAACAAAATGTAGCAAACGATCTGCCGGGACACTTTGGTTGCCTGCCACTGCAATTGTGACGGCACCCTTCTGTCTTGCATTGTACAAGTAGTCAGGTACCTCGGTTTGAGGACTGGCACCTTGATAAAACATATTGGATCGGTCATGATGAATCTCCATCGCCTTGAGTGTGTGATGCTCAAAAATGCAACATGATTGTTGTGATAAGTTTTCGAGGGGCTTTGCCCGAGAGATCTTAGATTTCCATGAAGTTTGGTCTCAAGGCATCTCGAATCCAAGCAACCAAGTAGGCTCTCACCTGCTCTCCTCGCGCAAGCTGCTGCTCCCGCCAGGCATCTCGCAGAGTCTTGATGGCACCCTGCGGACAAGACAACATGCGCTTATTCTTTTATTTTAACGATGTTCGAGATATTTCAACGATGTTCGATGCACCCCGTGCGCCATTCAACACCGAAGAAGTCGGGCGAGAAGTCATGATCCGTTTGCCCTGTCCTCCAGGCGCTGCTTTGCAGCCTGGACAATCTCTGGCGCCATGCGGTTCAGCAGCACACCGGTGCTCTCCTCGCATGTCCAGCTAGGAAATGTTTATGTTTGGGGCCTCTCTGACCGGCACACAAACACATACAGAATATGATATGACTTTATATGACATCTAGCTGTACTGTATCTGGTCCACTTGTATTGTCAACGCATGCCAAGTGGCGCGGGCATCCGTGTAGTTCTCTGCAGCACGGAAGAACATTTGTCGCGCAAATTGCACCTTCCAGGATGTAGTCAGCCATGGCTTTTGTCTGGAACATCCTAAACTGTTGTTTCTTTTGTATCTTGTAAAGTATGCGGCAACCATGCTCCTATTGGAGGTGAAATAATTGATAGCAAATTGCCTCCCCATGCCTCCCCCAATTCTGTGGAAGCATATCTCTCTCTGCCTCTTTGTCCGCCATGTCCGGGCGTTTGAGGCTCCGTCCGCCACCAAGCCCCAGCAAGCTGCCCGGGTTTCCCCCGGTGGCGACCCACGTGACAATCGCGGCCGAAGTAGCTAGCCTGAAATAACAAGCCGAAGAACTGCAGGGCAGTAGTAGGCAGCAAATGAAAAAGCATTAAACACAGACCTCACCTCATGATACACAAACCTGCCCTACATTCTGCCACATCCAATCAAGCTGAGAGACACAATCTCCCCTGTAGAAAACTCATTGGCTGCCCGTGCCACACGGGGAACTCTGGGCCGAAGCGCACGGCAAGGCAGGTGGACTCTGGGCCGCCAGTCTGGCAGAAATGGCGTCCTGCCAGAACCCATCGGCTTTATTGCGTGCAAATGTTTGGCTTTCCTGTCTGGATAGGGTTGTTCCAAAGAACTAGGTGGTGTGCAAACTTCTGCCAAGTGGTTCCATTCAAGCAGTGAAGTGAACATGCTACTAGGTCACAAAGCGCACCCCGTTTTTCTTCGTTTGAAATTGAGTTCTGGATGTGAGACCTTTGCTGGCGTCGGCGAGAGCTAGATAAGTATGTTGCAGTGCCAAGCGGCAGCTGTTTTAGCTGCATCTCACGGTCGGGCAGTTACTGAACCACACATTTAGAATCGGATTATTATTCAGCCATATAAAAACGGCGTATACCTATAGACCGTATAGACAGCACAATCATCAAGAACTGCCGTAGTCGCAATGCCACACCTCACAAAGGATGTGGGCACTGGGAGGACCTTGGCATGTCAGGCCTTTAGCCTGAGACATGATCCGAGATGTGGACTAAAATGATGCCTTTCCTCTAGAGGAGGTGATCAGCGGGACTCAGTCAGTGCACCTCTCCCTTGTTCTTTTCGCCATCATGGCCGGGTAGACCGGAAAGGCCTCAAGGGTGGCAAAGCCTTCTTTAAGGAACCCAGCGAAGCACAGCGTGGGAGAAAGTCACCCTGAGTCGTCAGTGAATGAAGCTTCTGAAGGCCACGGTAGTCTGCTGGCAAGGACAGGAGCTCTTTTTGACGAAGACTTTTGGAAGGAGATCCTGCCATATACCAAGCAAGTTTCAATTGTGCAAATGGTTCAAGAGGTGCACCAACCTCCTGCAACAGTTGAGCTGAAGGCTGTCGCTTCAGGGTTGGAGCACTTGAGATCTTGTGCATGGTACGAGTATGAGGCTGTAACTCGCACTCGAAAACGGTGGGAGCTTTTGACCCAGGGATGCTTGGAATGGGCTCGGATGTTTCAGCCTTGCTACTCCGCTGCTTGAAGACTGCAGCCAGGCGACCGTTGCCAGCAGCCTTGAGCAGCAGGTCACGTGCCTCTTGACGCAACATCTCGACCTGGTCGGCGGGACTGTTTTCAACCTCCAGGACAGTTCCCGTGAGATTCTGAGATGCTAGCACCTCAAACTCGCCAGTCTCCGTGTTGTGAACCTCCTGGAAATCATCATCTTCCTCTTCCTCATCCCTGAAGCCTCTGACTTCGTGGAAATCGGCTGTGTTTTCTTGGACAGCAGCCCAAGAGGCTTTGGCAAGGTCAAGCTGCATAGCTTGTTTCAAAGCACCTGAGGCCAAACCACATGCAAAATGAACAAGTTCTCCTTCATCCTCAGAATCCCCATTGAGGCTCAGCACGTCATCTTCCATTTCATAACATCCATCGTGTTTCAGCATCTCCTTTGACACGTCACAGTCCTCTGCCACAGCCCCTCTGATCAATCTCATGGCCATCAAGTGTGCGCACTCCTCTGGTTCAAGCTCCACGTCAATGGCCTGAACCATTCCATGTGTGAACAACCAAACCAACGATAAAAGGTACAAGGACCTGCTGACCGCTTCTGGCTCCCTCATGTAAATGTGAGAAGAATGCTGACATTACATGGGCCATGGTAGAGTTGTGCTTGGGTTTCCCCTCACTGGCGGTTGACCCGGACGGCCATACCCTGCCCCGCCTTGCATCTTGCCATGCCAAGAAGGGAAGCAGCAACAGCTAAGTCTTCTAGGCTGAGCTAAATCAAACAGTCTGAGCCAACAAATGCGATCTTCGCACGCAGCAATTCACATAATTACATGCGACCTTTGCTCAGGGAGGGCAGTGGAAAAATAATCTACATGACACTTGCGTTTAACGCTCACAAATGTGTTGTCCCAATAGCTCCTAAGTTCCTTAGCCGCAGACTTCGTCCTGGCCTGTGTCTGCCGGCACCGAGCAAAGGCTCAGGAAGCATGGCAGGCATGGCAGGCTGCATGGCAGGCTGCATGGCTCGGGATGGCTGGTCTAAATGCCAAGCTCTGGCCCTTTGCCACCCAGAGCTACAACATGCCAGTACTGTGAACTAGAAATCCGCCTGCGACAAGTGAGGTTGTCGCCATCCGTGGCTTCGTCTGCAGCTTCTTGGCTTCGTGGCTGTGTCTAGTGTGGCTAGTCTGCAACTGTCAAGAGGAGGGGGATGCATGAAGCCCAAGCTAGCCCAAATTGCAGAAAACAACCGCATTCAGTTCGTGAGTAGCAGCACCCGCGCTGCGCACACTTTGACCCGTCTCAGCAAGACTGCCCCAAGAGCTGATGTATGATGTCCAACCTTGTCGAGAGCCATCATCAAGGAGTTCAGCACCAAAATGTTTGGAGGAACCTCACGGTTCTGTCAAGAAGCACAGGGCATCAAAACTGCAATCCCACTGGTACCCCCAACCGGTGAGCCGAGGTACCTTTACCACACACCATGCTTTTGCAGAAACACTGTAAGCGACATGCGAACACATCGCAGAAAGAGAGAACCAACAAAGAGAGACCCAACGGAGCAAACCAGCCATTCTGGATTCATGTGAGTCTTGATCCAAAGGGGACCGTTTATGTTGGATCTGCTGGTTGTGTTCTTGAGCTCCCAGGATCCTTCTGTATTGCTCGCCATGTAGTACATGTAGTCTATGCCAGGGATCAGGATGGATCAGGGAAAAGCGCGGATCAACAACAGCAGAACAAACAAAACCTGTACATCTCACCGGCTGCTTTGACTCGCCCCCTGCCTCGAAGAGAGGAATGCTGCCTAGACTGCCAACGACAGCTCATTAAAGGCACAAAACAACTATAACTATAGTATCGACATGTCTGAGTACGTCTGCCCCTTAGCCCCTTAGCACACACAAGAACATTGGTGCGAAAAGCAAGCCCAATAGACTATAGAGTCAATAGAGGTCCACTAATGTAGACAGTTCGTCTCTGCAAATGGGGTGCTCAAAAGCGCAACGGCAACCTCCCATTTGGCTGCCTGCTGAGTGCATGTGACAGTGAGGCTTGTTCAGCAAAAACTTGGTTGTGGCTAAACTCTGACTGCACACACAACTATCAGCAGTTTAGTAGCTTGAAGATTCTGACAGTGAAAGTCAGTCAAACATGGCCAGTGGAACATGCATGCACGAGGTCTCGCGCAGGTTGTTTGTGTGTCCAGCCACTGCCTTGCCAAATGAAGCCATGGTGGCACCGAGGTGGACGATGTTTACTTCTACGCCTCGGTGTACAACTGAACCATCCCATCGAGAGAATGAACTCGAATTGAGCTTAGTTTGGCAAGTGGCCTCCCTAGTGTCATCTGGAATAAAAATAAACCCGCTGCAACAACATTGGCGGCTCTGTTGGAACCTGGAAGCCGCTTCAGGTTCCAATATATATATATATATATATATTATATGCACATAATCCATATATATATATATATACGGTCACTGGCTCCACACCTGCCAGTTTAGCTTGTTGAAGTGTCGCCAGACTTTTCTGCCATGAAGCCCGGCCTCGCCAAGGACCGGAATCATAACTCTCCGTGCAACACGGTGCCCGGCCATGCCAAAAGCACTCGTGTAAGTAAAACACTGTCAAAAGCACCTATTCATCAAAAGTCACTGATCACCCAGTTTGGCTGGTCATTGTGTGCCGATGCCAACATGAGGCTATTCGTGGATATACTCATCTAGACCCGTGCAATCCGTTTCAGCGCCTAAGGCTGCTGTCAAAGCAGCACCATGAGGCACCTCAACAATCTGAAAACCAACCAACGACCGGGTGACCCCGTTAAGAAACCGTTTAAGTCTGAGATTGCATCGTCATGTTCTATACAGTATTTTCTTTGCTTCTTCTACCCAGTTTGAGTGAAGCCCAACAAAAACGGAGACATCGTGCTAGTAAAGCCTCTGTAAAACAGGCTGACGCTTTGCTGAGATTCTGACATGCTGGCCCTTTGTACCGAGCATGATTGCGCAAGGACATGGCACAAATCGATGAGCCAATTGGGAAGCATTAGTAGCTCCTAGCGACTAGTAACAAGGCTGCTAGTAACAAGGGCATTACTACTAGTTAGTATATGTTAGTATATAGCTAGAAGATGCTAGAAGCTACTTACTAGTAGCAAGGTGCTGACTTGCAAATGCATCTGAATGGAGTTGTGGTTGGAAGAATGTGCATCCTGTGTCACTGTGTCACTCTATTGTTTGCGTCCTTCAAGTACAGCTCCCAAGTTGTGTTGAACTTGAAACTCAAGCCAGTCTGGTTTCAAACTATATACTGCTCAGTCAGGATATAGTATATCATCTGGTTGAGTTCTGCTAGCAAATGTCCACAGCGTCTTTTTAAACCAATGAAGCACCATACAGCCCTGAAGCGCAAACCCCTTTCCTAAGCAATCCCATACAGCAATGCAAAGGTTCTGAGGAGGCGTACGGTGCCGAATAATTGATGTATAGTCATGTATAGTCACTATATTGCATCACTATATGTCACTATCGTCACAGAAGCGGTTGCAACAACCAAAGCTTGAAGACTGACTTAATATCTTCAACTCGGAATCGCCCCGAGTGAAAAAACACCACAACGACGGATCACACGGATCACCCGGATCGCTCCCTCGGATCACGGATCACATGATTTTCAGGCTCAAACTAGATGTTCAAACCTGGATGCGCTACAAGTGGCGGATCTTGGCTGTTGTCAGGATGTCTTCTGCTCAAGTCCTTGTAGGCCTGTCCATGCAGTCCGCGGCCGCAGCCCTACATGAGCCCCTAATCAACCGCTGCGGGCGCCGCCACTAGGATGGCCGAAGTAAATCCAAGGTTTGCATCAAAGCATTGCCCCCAACTCCAAAGTAGGTCTTGGCAGCATCATACCTTAGTTGGCATCGGAACTTTGGGATGCAGCCTGGCTGATATTTCTTCTTCCAAGCATGTACGCTCTCCTACGATTGTGCTTGTTAGATTATGAGATCTGCGAAGTCCGGCGCCACTTCTGGGTGCTAAATTTCTTTGAGCTCAGGTGCACCAAGAAGGTCAATGCAATGCCAGGTGAGTAGATGAGCACTCGTGCCCCAACTCCTGATATTGCGGCTTTCTTCTGCCAGAACGATAAACAAAACTAGCTTTTAACGTCATTTGCTAGCTGCTATATAATTGCGTGAAAACAAAGGCAGCTAAAAACGTGCGACGGCCAAGAGTCCGCGAAACAGCTTGTCAAGGCTAGGAATCTCTGTGCCACCACCTGCATCGATCATTATGTTTGGGTCAGCGCTTCTCACTGTGAGTGTTGCTCGGGGGGCCAAAGAAAGCACACGTCGATATTGCTCTGATGGGGTCAGAAAGCAAGCCCCCCTTTGGAAAGTGAATGGACCGCCACAAGAATCACTGAGAGTCTCAATCCAAATGTGAATAAATGAGCCATACTATGAGACATATGATGTATACCGTCTGTATATACCTGCATCCACAAAACATCACAATACCATAGAAAATCAACAATTACTGTACCCTTCGCTAGGATACATGTTTCAGCTCGGGCATCGATGAGGTTTCCCACTGGTTGCCACGCTCTGCCAACATACATCTTTAAGCGTCTGCTCAGAACGAACTCACACACACACACACGCGCGGGTTTTAAGCAACAAACACAAAGGACCAATCCAATAGCGGGCTGTGGCCAGTCACGCCTGACTTGTTCGAACATCAAGAAAGTTAAGCAAAATGGCACAGCTAGGCTAGGGTGGTTTCAGTTCCAACACGTGGACTCCGCTTTAGCCTTGCAGCAGTACACTCTGCTGGTGACGTTGTTCATGACTTGCTGTTCACAAGCGGACTTGTGACCATGTTGCGCCTGTGGTGCGCAAAGCAAAAATGGTGTCAATAGGGTGCGATGTAATCGCTCCACATGCTCCGGCAAGGGCACCGCAAAAGCATGCGATGAGGAGAGGCTGCGCCTCTCGGAACGCAAAGAAGCAATAGCGCCTATCGTTGATATGTCGTATGATGTCGTCACATCTGACAGAACAAAACCATGTCACCATGATTCACGGAAATTGACAATTAAAAAAACACCCCAAAAAAAACTACAGTACATCGACCTACGAGTAGCAGGGAAGATTGTTTATCCAACCAGAAAATGTTCAAGAAGGTTTTCAGAGTGGATGCCCCCGCCTCGACGAAGGCGGGCACAAAAAAGAGCAATGCTTCCTCACTTCAAGTGCACCGGAGAAAACGTATGGTGCAAACAACAAACCAACTAAGCACACTCAACGAGCATCAACATCACAAACGAAGCAACGAACCAAAATGAGCCAAAGAGCGCGCAAGGAGTCAAAAATCAAGAACTTGGTCGTCACGAAGGCTAGCTCTTTGCCTTGGGGGCAACAGCCGTTGGATTGCTGCCATCTACCCACTCCAAAGCACTTTGCGTGCGTTGAAGCAACAGTTGGAAAGGACAGCTTGAGTCGCAGTGGCTTAGTATGGCACAACTCTCCAGTCCAAGCATCTGGTCAAAAGCCAGTACTCTTTATAAAGCTCACTCACTGCCTCTGGGCCAAGGCAGAATCAACCCCCTCCTGCCCCCCTTCCAAAGGTTTCCAACTCAGACGTTCTTGGTACATGCACATCATTGATGCGTAAAGGAGAGTCAGAACCAAACAACATAGAACATGCTCTAAAACTGCAACAGTATGTGATTCCATGTGACTGTGACTCATCCAACCACACCATACAATGCCATGCCGTACACGTCTGTGTCAACACCCGGCAGCACCATGAGCATGTCTAGGTCACAGGCCTTTGGCAAGCTCTCTTGGAGCAAATCTTTAAGCAAGGAGAACCCCCAGAATCTTTCGCTTCTGGCCATTATCTTTGTGGTCCTTGGCTGACATCAAAGGTTTGTTAACGAGTTGAAGCATCGTTCAAGCCAAACAACCCCATAATTTAGAACCGTTCCTTTGGCGCGTCCAAATTCCTTTGGCACATGCATCCCTGCAGCCGAGGGTCAGCACCTCCCATGGGGTTGCAAAAATCAGAGTGATCACAACACTGGCGATGCTGGCGAGTATCTTGGCACAAAGGAAGCCCAACCAAGCTGGGCTGCCAGCGAAAGGGCACGGCTGAAAGTGTCGCGCTACAAAGCCAGGAAGCCAATCTGCAAAAACCTTCAAATCTACTTCAAGCTGGGTGACCACTGCCAAAAGTTCATTCAAGCCAGGAAATTGAATCCTCAGTAAACTAACTCAAGTTGCATCTCAAACTGCGACCAAACTTCCACTCTCAAGGTACTTGTCTTCATGCAAGCTTCACCAGCTCTCTAGACAAGTACTCCTTAACGCCAAAGCTAAAAAAACCGAAGATGGCAGAGAAGGTCAGGGCCACATCCTGAGAAGTCGCGAGCGTCGTGACCCGGGCCCCACAACTGACGCCAAAAAATTGGTCGTAATCGATGTAGGCACATTTCCTGGCTGCATTGACCCCTGAAACCATGCCAAAAGGACGTATTGGTATATTATAGTTACTATATGTAGTACACTTTTGAAATAACTCTCCCATGAAACGAGTGCCAACCCACCGTGTTCTTTGTCCATTGGTGATCCATTTTAGCAGCCACCAATGAGGCAGCTGTGAAACAAAAAGCAATCAAACTGAGCCACTGAGCTTCTTGTTACTAGTAGGAAGGCCTGAAGCCCCTAGTAGCGTCCAAACTGTCTCAACGAACTTGGAAACTGTCACATCAAGGGCGGCTAAGACACGATGCCGCGGAACAAATTGCCTGTTGGCTCCGTCCTAGGCAAAAAGGCGCATCAACGATTCTGCCAAGAAGCACTCCAAACATATTTCCGGCGGGTTGAGCTTCTTCCCAACAGGAAAACACCCAAAAACTCAAGCCAAATGTGGCGCACGAGACGAGACAAATAAATGCAACCCAAAGGCGTAACGACCTCCTTGAGCGCTGGAATGAAGCCTTTGCGGCCAAGATTTTGGTCCGTCTGCATGCGAACCTCCGTGCGGGCCAAGTGCATTTCCCACAACCATCAAAGGATTTTCCTATCAGGTGCATCTCTTCCATTTTCGGCCCTCTCGCCTTCACACTCTGAACTGGCAGGAAGAGGGCTGTCCTATGCATTTGAGTTCAACCCTCTGCAGCTGCCAGCGATTTTCCCCCGCCAAAGGTCCTGACCACGCCGGCCAAAGCACCTGACAGCATCAGTCGAAGGTAGTCGCTTGGATAAAGTTGCCGCTCCCGCTCCAGCGGCGAGATGCCCACTGGACCATAGGTGGAGTCAAACCTGAGTGACCAAAAAAGCCTGAGGCTCACAGTAGGCTGAGCGCTAACATGTCGGGAATTATTGGAATTTGTTCCATTCCCCTGCTAAAGCCAACATTCTCAGCATCGCTCCAGGAGCCCACAAATCTCCACACCAAGTGCAAGCACAGGCACTCCGCGAAAACAAAATCAGATCGAAAACGATCAACTTGCCTGCAATCGCTTAGCGCCCCGTGGAGTTCCACAGGCATTGCATGGTATTGGCATTGCCATGCGCCATTGTTTGTTTGGATGTGCTTCGAGAGCATGGGCATTACACCAGCAAAATGCAGCTCCAAGCTGCATGAGCAAAGCCAAACAGTCTCGTACAAAGTCCGGTTATGTGTCCGACACAGCCAAACCCCAGCCTGTCGCTGCCAAAGACCTCGTCCAATCGCCTTCCTTCCTCTGGCGGTGTTGGATCTGGGGTCAAGGGCAAGCTCTGATCAGGAACCTTGGCTTTCGAGAGCGCCATGGCAACGGGCAGTGGCAAAAATAGGTCCGCCATGTGTGTTAGGTTATGCAAACAACGCGCACTAAAATAGAATCATGTCAATGTATATAACTGATGTGCATGTGTTCTCCCCCTAAGAAGTCCATTTCAGCCCTGAGCCAAGCGGTCCAGCTTTGCATTGTACGCAGGCAGTACAAACCTGAGAGCTTCAGGCCATCCAACTGCATCTTCTATGGTAGAGAAATGATGTGAACGTATGTGAGTTTCCTTGAATCTTGGCAATGTGAGCGGGCACCTGCGGAACCCTTAGATATACGACGGTTCTATAGGAGAACACTTCCAAGGTATGCAATACTGCGTCTGCAACCAAGTGGCGGCGGAAGCAAATTGGTCATCTTGCCTGTCACGCACATGTACATGATTTTCCAGCTTGTTCTGATTTAAAAGCTGAAATATATACTGTAACAAATTCCAAGGACACTGAACTTCGCCATAGTGTGTGTGCTCACTGCATCCAAGAGCTGTGAACAAAAATGAACAAAACCCCGAATCCAAAGTAATGCCGCCAGGGCGACTTTTAAGCTCGTCTGCAAGTGCCTGACCATTCGATGGCTTTATTGTTTCATGCCAACATGGTTGGGCCAAATCTGGCAACTCAGCGGGCAATAGAAACTGATGGTCTAGAACCCGTGGACCATGCAAATGGCAAATCAGGCAAAGGATGAACAAGTTAACACTGTCACAAGGCCACACACGCAAACCCAAAAAGCACCCGAAAGTGTGTCAGAGAGCCCCCATGCCTCTTTGGCTCGTTCGCGGGGGAACCGCGAAGGGCGGGTCAGCTGCACGGTGAAATTGGGAGCACGTTCCATCGTGAGGTTTTCCTAGGCAAAGTGATGATGCGCCCGAGCAAATCGTTGCAACTGGTTTCTCTCAACAGTGTCCACTGACAAACACAAGTCTCTGCTGTGTGGTTAGTCATGAACGTCAAAGCAGTCTTGCTGTCTCTCTTTCTCTCTCTCTCTTCCTCTGTCTCTAGGATCACTCTCCTATGGCATGTCCATACAGTATAACCATATACATAATTACTCATCTCAAACCAGGATAACACGATATGATATTTGATGATACTTGGGTTTGCTCACCACCGCCGTCCAATCTCAAACCATGCCAGGTTATTTCATTTGTCCGTCTGCTTTGGCAGAAACGCATCAACCATTTCTTTCCGCCAAAACGCCGGTAGCAAAACCTGCAGGGGCGATGCTCCCGTTTGAAACACAATTACAGTATCTGTCATGCTAATCGGTCTTCACAAAGTGATTGGCCAAACGTTGAGCCAGGCGATGTTCATGTGACAACCACCCGTACATCTGCATGTTCTGCGCGCATCCTGTACGTCTGATGTTGCTGGCAAATCTGGCAATTGGAAAGTTTGGTCGCAACGCAAACTGGCCCCCATCACCACAGGAGGCTGACTGATACAATAATTAAACACATGTGTACATACGTACATAGACATTCATACAAAACATTACATTACACTACACTACAGATTGCATTACAAACACTACACTACATAAATTACATACACTGCATACATTGCACTACATTACATTACACAAACACATGCATACATACGTACCGTACCGTGCCGTACCATTATTAGTTTTTTACCATACCATACGTACACAAACATTCATCCATTTCGTTTCGTGTCATTCAATTTCAGTTCGTTCAGTCATGCATTCAACCATTCATTCATCCGTTACATACACTACATACATTACTCACATTCCATACACACATACACACATACATACATACAAACAAACAAACATACATACATAATACATACATACATACAAGGCCATGCCATACCATACCATCACATCACATGACATCACATCACACTACAAACATACCATACATACATCTACACATACACCTACACATACACGTACACACAAACACACAAACATACAAACAAACAAACAAACAAACAAACATACATACATACATACATACATGATATGAGGTACGATCAACCCTATGATGTGCGGTTGTTGAACCCTCAGATTTGTGAACCCCCTATCGTTCTCCAATTTCTTGGAGACCCGTGGTAAGGGCATCGTATTTTTGTGAGTCCCCTATCGTTTGCCAGGGTCTAGAGCATGCCCGCCTGAGAATGCAACGCTCCTATGCAATTGTAACTGTCGCAATACTGAAAGTACTTCATGTATATTCGTACCCTTCATGGTTTAAAACCGAAAAATAGCGGCGCGGTTAAAACATTTAGGGGTGCCATCAATGTGTTGAAGTTGGAAGTAGGTATTTGCAGTGCAATTTGTTTTATATTTGATTTTGTTTGTCCCAACAGGGTATCGGGTACCATAGATGTATATTACATAATATGCACACATGCGCTTGAAACATCTAGATGTACATGATACATGTGCATGTGGTTGCATGACTGCTGGCTGGCAGCAAACTTTTCTTCACATTGAATCTGTAGTAAAATAATTCCAACTGCCCCCGATTGAAGGCCAAGGGACCTGGTGAAAGTTGCCCTTACATCTTGAATCTGGACCCACATAGTTACAATTAGTTGCAGCCTGTTGCAGTTAGCTGCAAATCGGTGCCCTCGGGTTCAACGTTGCTGGAAATCTCTGCCAAAAGCTTGAATCCCAGTCTTCTTGCAACTATATAGTTGCACTACCCTTGCTGAAGTATTCAGGTAGCTCCATAGACATCCTATCTGCCAAAAAGTTGGGACAAATAATAAGGCAAACAAAGCCTAACATTTTTTCTTCGAGTGACCCCCACCATGACATTTCAGCCTGACAATTCTTCTGGTATGTGTGATGTATTGACACAGTATTTCCGGAATATTTTCCGACTTTCTTTCTGGCATCTCTTCGGACATGCTTCCTGGCATTCGGTCTGACATCTCTTCTAACCTTCTTTCTGACATGTTTCTCGCATATCTTCTGGCGCTCTTTCTGGCATATCTTCTGACATTCTTTCCGGCATATCTTCTGACATGCTTTCTGGCATCTCTCCTGACATGTTTTCTAATCTTCTGACATTCTTTCTGGCATTCTATCTGGCATATTTTCTGGCTCGCGGTTGAGGTCCAGCGGGGAACACTGCCAGCTGAAGCTCGCAGTTGAGGTTCGGCGGGGATCACTGCCGAGCGGAGCTCGCGGTTGAGGTCCGGGGGGGAACACTGCCATCCGGACCTGGGGGTTGAGGTCCGGCGGGGAACACTGCCATGGGGGCTGCGGGCCAGGCGGGGAACTTTGCCATTGAGGGGGGAAAATTGCCAGCTGACATTTGCGGTTGACGAGGGGGAGAGGAGAGGAAAGGAGAGGAAAGGAGCAAGGCAGCTGACATAAAATCTAACAACCCTGACCTGACAGGTGGGGAAAAACATATTCTCTGGACGTCTCTAAGCACACGAACCCTGCTGTCTAAGATTTTCCCAAATACAAATTATCAAATTTGGTTTGAAATTTACTGTAAGCCTTATATTATATAAGCCAACCCCCACTCCCCCACACACACACACACACACACATACACACATTACAAATGTTCCGGTGGATCTCAAAGTTGTTCCTCGATTGTAAGTTATCCATGCTTGAACCTCAAAACCCATTGTCCTTACAAAGAAATGTGTTCCTTGAAATGTTGCATGTTTCATCGATGGCTTTTCCTTTTGTGGGGGCCTCACCTTGTGTCATGGTAGTCTCCTTTCTGCATCAAAACAACCTTTCCTCTGAAGGTTGTTTACGCTCTGCAAAGTTAAAATTATCTTTGGTGGAAACACCTCCATAATCGTCAGAACCTCTGTGGAACATTGCTTAACCCTATTGGTCATTTGAATCAAGGTTTTCGTAAGACTGAGATGTGTCCCTGTCAAAAGGGATTGGATCCTGCAACCTGGTAAAGTGTGTCTTAAGAAGGACTGATCACGCAAACCTTCTCGACAACGTGTCTTTTCAAGAAGCTTGTTAAGGTGCTCAAGGTGAACAATGCATGATCAAACCCCTTTGGCCTAAAGTCCATCAACTTTGCCAAACAGACTTATACCTGAAACCAATGCGCAATCGTTCCACAAAGGTTTCTGGCTGATTCAGGTGTCTTCTTCATCAAACGAAACATTCACAAGGATGCGATGTTCGAAGAACAGAACATTCCTTGTGCAAGGGAGAGGCACTTGTAAAAATGCGATGTGGATACAGGATGTGCCTCTCGCAATACAGAACGATTCGAGGAATGAGGCTACTTTTGAATTACCGAGAGAGAGAGAGAGAGAGAAACAAAGAGACTTGGGAAGAGAATCAACAGCTTCAATACTGTATATCCTGTTGAAGTATGTTGAAGTAGGGGTGTGGGCCGTGTGGGGGGATCATTTCAGGTGTAAAGAAAAGGTATTCATGTCACATCAACGATGTGAAATCATACTCTAATGTCTAATATGTAACTATAATGATAAGCAAACTTTTTGAAGACTGGAAGTATTGTAATTTTGACCGGACACCCTATTCTATCAAGAGCACCGGGTAATAAAATTGTTTAACATCAAAAGGATTTCTTGTCCTTTGTACATTAGTTTTAACTTTAAGCAGTTCATTGGTTCATGCCTCGTTTAAAAACAAACAAACATGTTCTTTCACATATCCTCTCATATGCTTGACTACATGTTTCACGGTCACTTCAATTAACACATTCACTATCATTTACTCTACAGTTTAGACCAGGAGACACCTTGCCTTGAAGGAGCATCCTTCTGTATTGAAAAGGGCAATGTACAATGTACATATTTTGTTATATAATAGATGGGAGCCCAAAGAGGTTCCTCCTGCTTGTATCCTTTCAAGAAGCTGAGAGCCAAGGATGGTGACATTTTGGAATATGTGATTCAAAATTATTTGGGAACTCACAACACTGTTATCACCACAAAAACCTGGTTTGGGAGCATAGATGTATATAGTATTTACACTATGTAGCACATTCAATCATCACAATCATCTATGTATATACACATGGTATCACATGATGTACATGCTGCCTGCACTCGTGGGGCAAGACACCTCTTCAGGTCCCTTTTGGTCAAACATGGCAAGTGTTGAAGGGCACAGTGGCCTTTGGGGTGAAGTCCATGTCCCTGGCATAGCCGGAGCCTTTGCTCGCCACTACCACCGAGTCCACGCATAGAATGGTGCTGCCAATGGTGGCATTCACGGCTTTCAACCTTTGGAACCAGGCGATGGAATTGTTCCATTGATTCTGCTGGCTGGTTGAATCGTTCGCCTGCAGCATGGACCTATGATATGCTATGACAAGATCCCCATCTTCCAACACAAGGCTGTAGCAAAAGCCTTCACAGCTCTAGAATGCTCTAGACTCTAGACATTGTGGGCACTGCATCTTCTGATTGATGTGGAATAAGATGACGACCGGCACTGGACCCTTCAATTGAGTGAGGAAGTCTTGTGCATCCTGTGCATCCTGTGGCACATTGGACATGTTGCCAACATAGGGTTTCTGAGCTGCTGGCTGACAATAAATCTTCGCTGGTCTACCACCTTGCAGGCACAAAGCAGATCGGCGGTTGATGTATATATGTATTACTACTATATATATATATGATTATCGATATTCCCTTCTCAGTCGGGCAGCTCCAATTTCGCTATGCAACCAACCATGGTGATGCTCACTCGTTCTGCAACTGGCTCTGATGTCGAGGAGGGCAGGCTCTCGTAGTGCAACATGGGAACCCGACTTCGACTTCATCCTGACCTAAGCCCGGTGGCGTGGGCAATTCCAGCATGACCTCCTTCACCTGTGCCCCATCCTGAGCTGTCCAACTGGTCGTGCGCACTAACATTAATACGGGCTGACGGGGTTTCAGCGCGCAGCAAAGAGCGGCGATGAGAAAATCACACAAACGAGGCAACACTAGACTCCTGCATACTCCCACAAGTCCGGAAGATGCCAGGTTTGCAAGGCAAAGACCCGCTAGTGCAAGTGGCGCCGCAAAGAACAATAGTGCAGCTGGGCGGCTCTCAGCGAAAAATTGCCGCCGTCAACAACATCTACCTGCACGTCATTTGCTTTACTACACAAACACTATTCAAACAATTCACATCTTCTCGGCCCAAACAAATGGCAGGTGATCCAAAGAACTACGTTATATGCGCGAGAGAGCATGTAACAGGTTGGTATTTCGCAGCCAGGCTGGATGAGTCGTCTGATGTGTGTTGGACTCCATAGAAAACAAGCCGGTCCACCACAGGAAAACAATGATCAAATGGAAAGCATCCAGCAAAAAACTCCCTCAGGTTGTGGATCTGCTTCATTGTTCTGGAGTAATTATTTGAGCATGGTGCATAAAGGTTAGTGGATAGAATTTCAAGAAAATGTTGAGTTCTTTTGTTTCAAAGGCTCGTGTAGAGAGCACGTGATGTAATACAGCTTGGCCACGAGCGCAGCTGCCAAAGCACACACTTACAAGACTTGAATGAGAACTAGAGGCAAAGGCAAGCAAATCGTTGGGCACGTGAGCACCAGTCCTGCAAACATCAGCATTACCAGCACAAGCAACACCTACCGCTATCAACTATCACTGTTGTCCTGTCCTAGAGTGTTCTTGTTCTCACTTGTGTTGTGCTACTAGTAAAAGGCTCGACAGCGCAACAGTCCAACCAAGCAATCGATTTGTTGATGTGACAGTGAGTGTCGCCATCCAATTTTGGCCCACAGAGGCACGATCGTGATGTTGTGCGGCAGCTTTGTTTCATCTGCTTATTGCTTTTGCGAAGCAGCGTCTTGTGACTTCTGATGTCGGATGGAAAGCCCACGCAGCTGCTCTTGCACCTCAGAGTGCCCAAGGCGGAGTATGCCTCGTAGATCTTTCTTACACCTGCACGTTCCAAAGCAGCTCAATACCTTACGCTCAAGCCCTTGGCTTTCGATTTCTTCTATGCTGGCCTAATGTGGCCTAATCTTGGCATCAATTGCAGTAAGCAACTTGCAACCGCATCATTGAGCAGCCAAAATGAGCCCTATTATGATATATATAGTATACTTTATGCTCAAGCCGTGTCACGTGAAATGAGTGAAATATATGAAGTATAACATATATAAATAAATGTATATATATATATAACGCGTTGGTGGATGCACTCACTAGCCTTAGTACAGCGTTCAACTTATGGCTCCAAACAGGTCTCTACAGTTGGTGCCGAGTATGATGCATCTCCGGCCAATTTCACAACACCATCATCATGCCGTACACTTAGACTTGGACGTCACCCAGCCCTGCCTGCGAAACGGACGCATTCCTCAGCACCATTGAGCAGCTGTCGGTACCAGGTGCCAGATTGAGATGACGCATAGCTAGATACAAAGCAATGGCACAGCAAAATGAAGCACAGCCATGGCGAAGCAACCAAGAAAATGAACACGATATAACACGATTTGTTTTTCTCGTGCCACCACGCAGCTCCACTGAGCGCAGCAACCTTCGCAACTCCGAGACCGGCTGCTGATTTGGCCCCTGAAGGAGCGAAAACCTCCGGTGGGCGTTTGACAGCCAAATCCAAGGCACATCTTCAGTCAATGGAGCTGATATTCGATGATATTCGCTACTCGGAGCAAGAAGCTACTAGGGTGGAGGCCATCGCTGTTAGGTTGGAGGCCATCTCTACTAGTAACAAGAAGCTACTACGAACAAGTGAGCTGATTTTCGGACTAGGTCTTCAAGTCTTCCAGTCGTTCCCCACACATTGGCCCTGCAAAAGTCTTAGGTCATACTTGAAGGTGTGCTCGGGCATGTCGGGTTGAACTCGGACCCTTGAGATCTGCAGGTGCTAGCCGGTCACAAACATGTGCAGCCATGTCACAGGATGCAAATCCTTGGGCATGGTCCAAGTCTCATCAACAACAAACTGAATCTGAGCCCAGCCGGGCATGGTGCTGCACCGGTGTGCTTCTCACCAGGCGACTGTCGTTTGGCTTCAGTGGTGTTCCCGTAGTCCTTGAGCAGGACTTCCTCAGTGCACAATGGATCCAAAGAGTGACGGTGATACCCCAAGTGCTCAAATGGTGGAGGTTGTGTAGTGTAAGTCCCTCCTCCGGCACTCGAATATCACTTGCCACAGTTGGATTGATATCCGATGATATCGGCACATGATGTCACAAGACATTCGCAAAATCTTAAAACAGGATCACCCTTGGTATGGTGCAAGGGCGACAGTTTTGAACAAACACATGTCTGACGTGAGCAAGGTAGCATGTCTACAAATAGCTAAGCAACTCTCCATCAAAGTGTTATGACATGTTATGACAAGCTTCCAGCAGTCTCTTGCTTTTGTCTGGCGCAAAGTTAGAAAGGGAAAGCTGCACAGTGCGGGAAAACCGTGCAAAGCCTGAGCATGCAAATCCACTTGAGACAAATCTTGAACTCTTTACACTGTAGCAAATGTGCCACTCACAAATATATCATGACATTACCTCTGCAAATCATGTTTTCTGTGATGTTCTATAATTTGCGAGTGGATCTTAATCAGCGAAGTTTGAAGCTATCACTGACGGTCCATAAGCGGCGTAGCGTCGGAACGGAAACCGCACCTTTTCTAGTCGCTTGATCCTTGAGCCAAAGTACATATAGTACATATATATGTACAAGTTGCACTGTACGTGTCGCTGCACTTCCATTCGCACCCCCCATGTGAACGGCAACAATATGTTCCGATCACACACGAAAATTTAGGGATGTAAGTGCTACAAAAGAAATTGTGTGATTTGCCGCGAGACTCATATGAGGCTCATACTACAAAACATGCTGGGCTAAAGCGGACTTTTACATATAAAGTGTGCAACTATGGCTCAGAACCTATGAAAAAAAATCGAATTGAACAAGTGAGACAGTCACGAGGCCTCGCTCAGTATCCACTCAAAAGAGCATCGCTTTGATGTAGATCAGAACTGGTGACTTCCACGTAGATGTCACATCGGCAACTGACTTCACACTTCTCAAAAGATGTAGGTTTTGGTTTGGATACACTTACAGAACGGCAAGTCGGAGAGACAGTCGGTGATTGTCTTCCTTCCATTATGCTCATGGTATCAAATCAGATTGACGATTTGCAATGATACACTTACAGCGTTTCAGGTCAGATAGACATCCGGTGAATGACTTCCTCCCTGGTTTGCATGGTATCCTCATAGTCGTTCAAAGAAATCACCATTGGTGATAACCTCTCCATCCACGATGATCCCAGCTGCCCTGAGCATCCCGCCGATCATCTTCTCCCTTCTTGGACTTTCCCTTGGACTTGCTCTTTCCCTTCCCCTTTTCAGAAGGTTGAGGTACTTCGCGACGTTCTTGCGTTAGTGCCGGCCTCCAAGATGTTCCAGATTGGCCTCCTCCTTTGGAATGTCCTCGGGATGACGAAGAAGTTGTACCTTCTGCTGCATGTGCGTTGGCGGCAAGATCTTCCTGCAAAGCTTGCTCAAACACATCGGTAGCACTGGATGGTGATTTATCATGTGGTCTGGCTTTTGGAGCAGCCTTCGCCTTGTTCTCCTCTGTTGAAGGTTTTGGCTCCTCACTTGGTGCTGACGACGGCTTGGCCTCGGTTCTGGGTGTAGATGCTGGCTTTGCCTCAGCTCTTGACGAAGATGCTGCTTTCGCTTCAGACTTAGTCGTTGATGTTGACTTAGCTGTTGCCTTGGCTGCCTGCTTCTTCTTGCCCTGAATCTCCTTGGCCCTATCTCCAAAGCCTAGACGATTGGTAAGAGCTTGAACATGCTTATGTTCTACCACGCTCATCCATCTCTCTGTATGTCCAACGTTGGGGTTTCTGGCCATTGACTCTATGACTTCCTGAGCTTGTGGGGGTAACCTGATCTCATGTTGATCAATGATCAACAGAATAGACTTCTCCCACTTGCTCTTCATTCTCGAGTACATGATGTCCAGAGGATCGATCACCTTGTGGTTGGGTGATGTAACGTCGGTTCTAAAGTAAGAATATGTCCGACAATCATAAATCGCATGGATGCACTTCTGTACCAATTCAGTCATTGCGCTGGCTTTCTTCGCTTTCAACTCCTCAAGCTGGGCATCAGTCAAGTCGGTGGAGTGTTCGAAGTTGCCATATTCCTCCTTGAAGGAGTTCGGAGTATGACCAAATGATAGGATCATGAGTGCTACCTTGCAAATGAATTGCTCTCCTCTGAATCGGTGCCAGGCCTCCTCAGTTGTAATATTGTTGTCGTTGGCAAAGATTAACATCATCTCATCTGTTGGATCCAATGGTCTCCCATCGTCATCGATTTCAGTGGAATCTCCTGTACCGAACTTGCTTATCACATCCAGACGCTTCCTTTTCCAATTTGCTTTGAAGTCGGTAAGGCTGGTGCAATAGTAGCTCTTGTACATCAGGGAGATCATGTTCAGCACACATTTGACCACATACCTATCCATCAAACCCGATGCATTCATGGAGACGTCCTGACAGTAGGCTCTCTCTTGATGCGCATAGATTCGAGGTTCCGGTACTCGACAATAGATGGGGAGATCCTCGTTGTCTTTTCCTTCTTCGGGATTGAACTCGGTCGCTCCATGCTGTGCATAGTATCCCGGTTCATCACGATCTGTCGGTCGATTCGCCTCCGGATGTAAGTCGTCGGTGACGTCTTCATCCTCGGGCTCACCATCTTGACGTTTCTTCCCCTCATATTGTTGTGTGCTCCTCTGGATCTCGATGATCACGTTTCGTTCGTCTTCATCTTCTAGATCAGAATCACGACCGTAGTCGATCTCGTCCTCATTGAAAGATGGGGTCTCGACATTGTCACTCTTGAAGTTTTCTGCACCATCAGACGGTTTGGAAGGATCTAGAATGTCCATGTCCTCGTCGTCGTCAGCTGCTTCAGTTTGAGCGATGTCTTCTTCCCAAGCTCTTCTGATCTCGTCCATAGTGGCCTGGTCCAAAGTATCTTGAACATCATCTTCAGGCTCCTTCTTTTCCTTCTCTTCCTCTTCATCGTCGGTCACAAGATCAACGGGTGAATCGGAAATGACAGTGTTGCGAATACCACACGAGAGTAGCCTGCCTTGACAAGATAGACACACGGACAAAGATGAAGAAGTCAAATGCATACATGATGGACACAAAATATTGCCATCCACGTTGCGATACCCTTCACATGTTCTGGAGATGATTTCGTCCCAAGTTTCCTCACTGATGGAATCCTCGATCAGCTCTCCATTGTCATCGAATTTTACTTCATCGATAAGGGACACGAGCTTTTGGACGTTGTCATCTGTCGCCGAGGCTGACTTCGTGACTTCGTCGGCTCTCTCGAGGATGGTATGCTTCTGAGCAACCCAAAGTCCATGACGTGCCGCTAGAACAACTTGCTCTCCGGTGCTTCCCAGCAGGAGTCTCCTCCATGCCTGAACATGGTCGTCCCAATACCAAGCACCTCGTACACATCTCCATGGAACTTCTCTAAAAACAACAGTGTAGGAATTCTCCGAAATTCTTCCCCCGAGCTTCCTCAGAGTCATGATTGGAACATAAAGGCAAACGGGCATTCCCACTCTTGGCCATCTTGATCTCAGAATCTTTGATGATCGATCATCCCACGGCGCAAAGTGGTTGAAGAAAACACTACCTCTATATCCATCCGTTCCACCAGGGACAATTCCTAGTTTCATGATTGACTCAATATTGGAAAGCGATGTCATGTGAAAGCTTCCTCCAAGCTGCATTGCCACATTCTCTGGGATGAGATGTGAAGTCCATACAGGATATATTGACACATCCTCTTCAAGAACAGTCTCTCTTCCAGAATTGTGAGAGGCAACAGCTCGAATTGCACAAGGAACGATCCAACGTTCATGCTTCAGAAATGACGGTGCGTCTGTGCCGTAAAACATGAGGTTTGCCCAGTATTGCCTTTCCTCTTCGAGTGAGACATCCTCCTTTGAGATGCGAATGGCGGCAATCTGATAGCGTACTCTGTTCTGCAACTTCTTTGCATGCCACATCGCCTTGCATAAATACTGGTATCGCTCTGTCTTGGTATCTTGCTCACGTTGAGTACCTGAGATAGTACTGATATTGACACCATCGTTGAAGACATGATCATATTCCAGGATCTCATCGATGTTCACCCATCCACCCTCATTGCACTTCGGGGACACATGAGGTTTTCGACCGCGGTGCGATTGAATCCCATTATGCTTTCCCACTCCATGCCTGAGTAGTCTATTGAGTCTATGGCTAATCTCGTTGACCCACTGACTCTCCTCGCTGAGCTTGTCGATGCGAATTGCTGGGTTCATCTCTGGTGGATCCGTGAAAGTTGCATCTCTCTTCGGTCCATTCCAGTACTCCACATAGAATGTAACTCCATACTGTGGAATTATCTCGATGTTTCCTCTATCGCAAGCCACCTCAATCTGCCGATACCCAACCTTTTGAAATTGTTGTGGGTCAGGAGCAAGGTCCTTCACTTTGGGCATCTTTATTCCGAGTGCTGCAGCCTCCTGAATAAGTGCATCAAGTTCCCTCTTTCCATCGGGACCTGATCTATCAACCCTGTGATTTGCGACCCTGTATTCTCCTCCTTCTTTGTCATCGGCAATGTCAAAGAGGTCGACGGGCTCTTTGAATCTGGTGACGAAACTGGCGTTCCCAAAGGCCTTCTTGGTTGCCTCGACCGCTTTCGCGTATTCCTCTTTTGCGGAGTCTGACGAATGTGGTCTACCTTTGGCTCTCGGAGAGTAAGGTGGTACCTTACTTCCTAGTTCCGGCTCTTCTTCGGGAAGTTCAATATCTTTATCATCCACATCCATGTAGTCCTCATCTTCGACGTCTTTGGATGACTTTGCTTTCCTCTTTCGGCTTTCAACGTCACGTCGGATGATTGCCTTGTCGTCCTCGGTGAAGCACTTGCGCATAGTGTCCTCCATGTAAGAAAATGAGTTCATCAACTCGTTCTTCTTCTCAGTGTCGGGACAAATAGCCAGGTGATGTTGGTTTGAACCACAACAATAGCACACCATTTGGCTCTCTGCGCGTGCTCTGACCCTTCTGAGGTTGTCATAGGCGGATTTCCAGCTGGAAGCGGTTGCTGTACCTTGCCCACTGCGCTTGGCAGCTCTTTTCCGTTCCTCAGTATCTGGATTCGATGTCGGGTAGTGTGACCATGTTTTCGTCGGAGATACTGAACGACCTTCCCCTTCCTTGTAGTCTTGCGGATCAAGCTCAGGCGTAGGTGGTTCAGGCTCCTCGACTCCTGGAGTGGTACTCGCAGGGTCGGCTTCGCCATCCTTCATCTCTACATCAGGCTCTTCCGTAGACGTTCTTTTGGGCTCTGGGGCTATGGCCAGTCGTACCATTCTCCTGAA